TTACCATCATGGACGTGCTAATAAGATTGAAAGTAACGGTCATCTGAGCATAACATGTGCAATTTACATATTTAAAAGGGGGAGGGGGGTGGGTAACGGCGGCCTGTTAGATCATGAAAAGTGGGAATAGAGCACCCGAACGTGAGAACCACTCATCTAGGCAGTTGAACGCTTCCTATTTCATCGATTAAATACATTGAAAACTCATTAGAATCTTGGTTTTAATTATGAAAAACATTTTTTAAACTAACACTTTAACTCGACTTCACCTCAACTCTTGGGATTACGCGTTTCATTTCCTAACCAACTTCAACGATACATCCTCTTGTTTCGTAACGTTAGCATTCATGTAACCATCCATAACATCAGTCTTCTGATGAAAAAATTTTCGAAAATTATTCAACTTACTGTTCAGATTATTTGAATCCATGCGTTGCGGGAGAACCGTTACTCAACGCCTATGGAGCGGCAATTTCATGTAATTTTGCTGTGGAACCGAACGGTGGATGTCCCGATAACTATTGGTGTCATACTGGTGCAACTTTCTCAACTACAGTATGCTGCCCGGTTGAGGAACAAGGTAGTGAATGATCAGTAAATGAAAACGTTTAAAAATTGCCAGTTCCAAAAACCTTATTCCAAGAGAAACTTTTCAAAATCAACGCAACAAATCTAGTTTTTGATTGATTCTAATAGCGAATTTTAAGTTGATCTTTGCTCATTGCCCCTTGAGCACGGTACTGGCAATGCAATCATCGCTCGATGGTTCTTTGACAAAGCGACGAACGAATGCAAACGATTCGTCTATTACGGACTATCTGGTAATGCCAATAACTTCATATCAAAAGCACAATGTCAATCGCAGTGTGTCAGCGAAATCGGTAAGAACGTATTTTTGATATTAGATCATAACTGTTCATTTCTGTAGATGTGAGCTGGTTGAAATGTGAGTTAGTTTTTGGAGAAGAAATTCTTCGGAAAGTGGAACACTTTAGACATTTCTTATGATTAGGCACATAGCATTGTGAAATTGACTTCAACGATATTCAGAGACATTTGCATATGTGGGTAAACGAACCGTTGAGCTGAACTCTGAAATGAGAAACATCGATGATGCTAATAATATAATTGCAAATCTCAACAAATACGACCTGCCTCAAAGAATTGGGTCATTGTTGATTGTGATTCGCACAGACATTCGTTAATAAGCATAATAATCTCTAAAGTATCGGTCAAGAATGACTTCTCACGGCAATACCTTCGGCCCAAGTAGTATAGTGGTTAGTACTCCACGTTGTGGCCGTGGCGACATCGGTTCGATTCCGGTCTTGGGCAAGCGGCTTAATTTTGCGGTTTTGCAGACCAATGGATTGGTGCTCAGAATCCTTGTGGAAAAGGAACAGCTGCTCTCGGACCTAATAACAGTAAACTGATCTGCAGTGCAGGTGATTCATCGCAGTGTCCAGATGGATTCTATTGCCACATTGGTGAAACTCGTGCAGCAACCGCTTGCTGTAAAACATCTGGAGGTCAATAAATTCGTTTTCGTCAATTAATTCGTCAATCAATGTCCCCAGTATCGCGGCAATTTCAGAATAGCAATTCTTCATACTTAAGCTTTCATACTTCGATCATCATTATTGGAATTGTCATAAAATGCGACTTGCCACTAATTTGTGCACAGCGACTTGGGTTATTCAATTTTATCAATGAAAATCAGAATAATCACAACGCATTGACGTCGTACTATTGTTTACTAAGAAAATTTGTTCGTTTCTAATTTTCATTTCATTCATCCTAATCAGAAAATTCATCAGAGCCTGATAAATTCCAGTACGTTCATTCCTCATAGCATTTGAATAGGAGTCTATTGAACATCAATAACATTGGCTTGATGGAGAATGTGCGAGAGAGAAGCTTAAAAATTAATTGTTTCACATACTTTCGAACTGACATATTGCAAACACGGATAATTTCGCATAATGGTTTCAGGGGAGAGTCGGTGCTTGGTGCCATTGAGCGTTGGTGAAGGAAGCGCATTGATAAAGAGATTTTATTACGATCAAAATGAGAAGCAGTGTAACGAATTTGTTTATAAAGGAACGAAGGGCAATGAAAATAATTTCTTGACACGCAATGAATGCGAAAAAGAATGCGAGAGTAAGCATTCTTTATCAATGATGTTGTCTCTGGAATATAATCGTGATCAGCTGCTTAATTGAGAAAAACACTTTGCATTTTGAAACAGTATGATGACGACGTAACGAACTTGTGCTTCTTGTTAAGGATTTCAAATGCATTTGTAAGATTTCAATTTATAGAGCCAAACGAT